TGCTACGATCACTTATGTTGTGTTTAAGTCACTTTGCTACGATCACTTATGTTGTGTTTAAGTCACTTTGCTACGATCACTTATGTTGTGTTTAAGTCACTTTGCTACGATCACTTATGTTGTGTTTAAGTCACTTTGCTACGATCACTTATGTTGTGTTTAAGTCACTTTGCTACGATCACTTATGTTGTGTTTAAGTCACTTTGCTACGATCACTTATGTTGTGTTTAAGTCACTTTGCTACGATCACTTATGTTGTGTTTAAGTCACTTTGCTACGATCACTTATGTTGTGTTTAAGTCACTTTGCTACGATCACTTATGTTGTGTTTAAGTCACTTTGCTACGATCACTTATGTTGTGTTTAAGTCACTTTGCTACGATCACTTATGTTGTGTTTAAGTCACTTTGCTACGATCACTTATGTTGTGTTTAAGTCACTTTGCTACGATCACTTATGTTGTGTTTAAGTCACTTTGCTACGATCACTTATGTTGTGTTTAAGTCACTTTGCTACGATCACTTATGTTGTGTTTAAGTCACTTTGCTACGATCACTTATGTTGTGTTTAAGTCACTTTGCTACGATCACTTATGTTGTGTTTAAGTCACTTTGCTACGATCACTTATGTTGTGTTTAAGTCACTTTGCTACGATCACTTATGTTGTGTTTAAGTCACTTTGCTACGATCACTTATGTTGTGTTTAAGTCACTTTGCTACGATCACTTATGTTGTGTTTAAGTCACTTTGCTACGATCACTTATGTTGTGTTTAAGTCACTTTGCTACGATCACTTATGTTGTGTTTAAGTCACTTTGCTACGATCACTTATGTTGTGTTTAAGTCACTTTGCTACGATCACTTATGTTGTGTTTAAGTCACTTTGCTACGATCACTTATGTTGTGTTTAAGTCACTTTGCTACGATCACTTATGTTGTGTTTAAGTCACTTTGCTACGATCACTTATGTTGTGTTTAAGTCACTTTGCTACGATCACTTATGTTGTGTTTAAGTCACTTTGCTACGATCACTTATGTTGTGTTTAAGTCACTTTGCTACGATCACTTATGTTGTGTTTAAGTCACTTTGCTACGATCACTTATGTTGTGTTTAAGTCAATTTTTCCCTTTTCACACTTTATCGTTTAATGCAAGAAAAATCAAGGTTCTATCCCAAAATATATGTCTGGAAGGAGTGAAATGGAGGAATTTTGAATAAATGATAAATATAAATGAAGAAAGAGAGATATTGTGGATAATGAAGGCCACAAAAACAAAATTATCCCCATCCCTTCATTATGTACTGTAAAGCGCTTTAGAGTGGTTTATGTTAGCTAGATAGGGCGCTATATCAAATGTTGTATATTTTATTTATTTTTTATTTATATATATATATAGAATAGCTCCTACTGAATGAAATATGAAACTAGGTCATGGTTTGTTTTACTGTACAATAAGAAGGTTGTTTCTCACTAAATGTTAATCTGATTCTATCACTGAACATTCATATATCACAAATTCTAATTTAGTTAGTATACACTATAAATATAAAACTTTATGATATGTTGTTATAAAGTAATGCTTATAGCAGACAAGGTAGATACCATTGTTTTGCTATGAAAATACTCTGTTTTCCATTTCTGTGTTCTTGATTTAAATATTTGAGACGTACCATGTAGTTTGTTGACTGGTGTATCGTATCTGTATCTGGAACCAGCTGGTAGTCTTCATATCCTGTAACATGGTCTGTAGAAATAGCTACAAGTAAAGGATCGTTACATGTATAGATAATAAACAACACTTAACCATTCATCAGCACTACTTGTTGGGTGCTTGTAGTACTATAGGCTGTCAATTATATCCCCCAAATACCCCGAGCATAATAAATATATCTTGATCTAAACCGCGGGTACCGCGTGGCGGAGCAATATAGTGTTATATACTTTCTTACATTGAAATAAGATCTCCATCATTTTAAGAGTGGTTAGCTGACATGCTATAAAAAATGTAGGAGAAAATATCCGGACAAAAAATCAAATACTGAAATGAATAAAGGGCAATTACTTTTGCAAAAATCGTTGAATCGAAATTCTTTTAAGGGAGACACAACTTCATATCATGATGATAATTTATACCAAGTTACAAAGAGATCCGTTGAAAAATGTAGGAGAAGATTGCCGGACAAAAATCAAATACTGAAATAAACAAAGGGCAATAACTTTTGCAAAAATTGTTGAATCAAAATTCTTTTCAAGAAAACACAACATTATTTAACTTACTAAGTTTCAAAGAAATCTGTCAAAAAATGTAGGAGCAGATTGCCGGACAAAAAATCAAATACTGAAATGAACAAAGGGCAATAACTTCTGCAAAAATTGTTGAATCAAAATTCTTTTAAGGGAGACACAACTTCATATCATGATTATAATGTCTTTTAAGGGAGACACAACTTCATATCATGATTAGGATGTATACCAAGTTTCAAAGAGATTGGTCGAAAAATATAGGAGGAGATTACCAGATGGGCGGACGAACCCATACCATAATACTCCTGTCAAATTTGACGGTCGTATAAAAAGGTTCAAATTATAAACAGTAACTGATTCTTCTCAGAACAGTAAGGGATGTAAATTTAAAGACTGGATCAGTCTCAGAATAGTGAGGGAGGAGGAAGGCCCTCGAGTAGTGAAATTGCTGAAGTATTGTGTGATAATATATAAATATGACATTCATTAGCAGGTGACAGTCACCTGCTAATGAATGTCTTATCTATTTTGTGCACATCTTTCGCGCATGTGATATTTTTCACTGTCTCATGGCAATATCACCCGCGCCCCGTAAAACCAATGNCGCACATCTTTCGCGCATGTGATATTTTCACTGTCTCATGGCAATATCACCCGCGCCCCGTAAAACCAATGTATTTTCGGAGGGTGACAGAGATTTTTCTCCCAACCAATCAAATAGCTAGAAATTCACTTGAGGTGTAACAAATGCTAATATGGAATTGTTCTTGGCCATCTTGAAAATTGTCACATGTTTCGTGTATTATGTATACATTTTAACCTATTTTGCATTCGATAATAAAAAAACGTTGAAGCTACATTACCTGGAGACCCTGGATCACTGTCAATGTCCATCGCTACCTCCTCATAGTTGTCCTGTAGGACAGGTTTCTCTGCAGGTTGTCGACGGGGCTTGCTCATCTTGTCCACAGGAGACTGCACAGACAATTTCATGAACAACCAATGGAAAGCCATTACATATATGTACAGTAGACTATGATTCACTTGGACAAGTTCAACACCAATTCTAACTCAAACAGGTCCAACAGTCCAATACCTCCAACTCCAATGAGTATAATATCCCTCTTATCTCGGCAAGTGCAATACACCACCTAACTAACAGCTCAGAGAAGTATAATACTCTTCCTAATTCTGAACTTGGATAAGTCCTAAACCCTTCCTCCAAACTCTAATTCAGGTGAGTCAAATACCCATCATAACTCAAACTTAGGTGAGAAAAGTCTGTCTGAAGCTAAATCCTCAAACTTCCAAACCTGACATGGATGTCGTATCTACTGGAGCAGTTAACTACAGATGACAAAATAGAATCCATTATATACTGAACAGACCAGTACAAGGGGAGAAAAGGGTTATTTATACTTCAACAATAGCTGTACACAAGCAAAACAATTACAAAAGATATTGTACAGATTACAATTAACTCCATCGGACTTGGCCCAGATGTTATTGATCTACACTACATGTGTATATATTTCTGTCAATACACAGTATCCCCTTCATCCTCGGAGGATTGAACAAGGAAGGGAGCACCATCAATACACAGTATCCCCTTCATCCTCGGAGGAGTGAACAAGAAAGGGAGCACCATCAATACCCACCATCTTGACTTTAGTTTCATTTTTTAAATCAAAGCATTCCAAAATCAATATTAGACTTTATTTACAGGTATACAAATATATGGTGTGTTCCTCAATGTAGCAAAAAGCCTTCAAAATTATATTACGCTATGCTAGATTACGTGACTCCAAGTAAAACTGAATGGATGTATCTACACGTTGGTACAGCAGACCTGCTATGGGCTATATATATATCACTTGATTGTACACATAGCTTGTATGGATCAAACTCTTAGCAATGGATGAAACGAGCTAAGAATCAATGAGCTAGGATATTGATAAAGGTCTGACCAATTAACGTATTATGGGCCTGACAGGTAACCTGAACATGGTGACCAGATCAACTATTACCTTGGCGCTTTTGACAGAAGTAGGTGGTTGTTTATTCGTTGTGTTTGGGTATCTTTTGTCAGCAAGAAGTGTCAAAAATCTGGAAACTTTCTCTGCAACATCATCTAATGTTAATATTTTCTGAATTTCTCGTCTCTGATCTTCACGTTGGCGCTCAATTTTTCGTCTTTCTTCTTCCTGCTGTCGTCGCTTTTCTTCATCTCTTCGTCTTCGCTGAAGCTCCTGTTTCCGATGGCTGTCACTACTAGATTCGTGTGGCCTTGACCTTGACTGGCTATGACTAGACCCAGTTCTGCCAAACACAGGTCTGGCCCTTGGACTAGGGGTAGGGCGGCTTCGATAATCATCTTTTTCTACAACATAACATAATCATGAATTTAATAAAGCTTTATGGCTTCTTATTACATACCATCACAGATAAATAATATAGGATACCAAATGTTAGCTTAAGTTTTTTTAAATTAAGGTCTTGACTCTTAAGTATGCAAAAGTACTGATATGATAAGGGAATTTTGCCCCTTGTGATATTTCTCTTTATTACATACTTACTAATAAAAGTTTTTTTTTGGTATAGGCGATACAACACACACACACACACACACACACACACACACCCCACCCACCCCGTATCACACCCCAAAACCTGTATCAGCCCCCGCCGTATCACACCCCTTTTGAAAATTTTTCGTTTTTCAATATTTCAAAAGAAAAATAGATCATAAGATAGTAGCTTTTATTAGTAAGTATGTAATAAACAGAATAAAACACGCCTTTTTCCATATCACACCCAGTATCAATCCTCGACCAATATCAGCCCGAGTGCAGTCTCAGGTTGATACTGGGTGTGATATGGAAAAGGCATGTATTATTCTCTATTTATTTACTTCAATTTGATATGGGTATATGTATTGCATCATTTCAAAACAGTGATGTTCAAAGATGACACAAAGATCAATTTGTTGAATTTTTTATCATTACACAACACCCAGAAAATAAAGACAATTTTGTAAAATTTGCCAGTCACACAAAACAAAAGGATCGCTTGAAAAAGGCCAACATATATCACACAAAATCCCTTTCTCAGTTGCAAAGATAACTAGAAAATCACTTTGGGCGAGTAGATATAGCTTATGCAAAGAATACCCCCAACTGTTCAGTAAAAAATGTTTGTGACATTTTAGGGATTTACCATTTGTGTATAAAATATAGATTTTTATGGGTCATGCTTTCTAATTAGCATATATCCCCAACACAAATACCAGAGTGTTTGAAAGTGACATAATTATGTTTATATAAATGTGAATAAACATGGCGTCTAACACTGCAGCAGTCCTATTTATTATCGTGTCAATTCCGTCTTTGCGTATTGCAGAGTTATCTTCTCTTCGGAGAAGGTATTGATTGTTACGTTACTTGTTTGAGAGAGTAACGTCATCAATTCTTGAGAAAACGACGTAATTTTCTCACACAAACCAATGACGTAACAATCAATACCTGCTCCCAAGAGAAGATAACTCTGCAATACGCAAAGACGGAATAACCCATGTAATAGTTTGTATCAGTGGTTTATTTGGACAAACTCACCAGGGCAAGCAGCTTTTTAGTGCAATTTCTCAGGTATATAAAACATAATATTAATATTTGTTGCAGTTTAAATTGTTTTCAGATTCACCACAAAACCATCATATCCCCTTTCCTCCTCAACAAATGATATTTATTAAGGCCTTCAAAATAATTGAGTAGGGATTAAGTTCAATTTCAGTACAAACAAAGCTGACATACTTTTATCATTACTTATACTGCGACTGTCTCCCTTGCGTGTAAGATTAGTTTTAGAACGATGTCTGCTTTTTCTTGGTGAAGATTTTGTTGGAGATTTTGATGATGGTGATTTGCTTGCTTTAGACTCTGTTTTTTTCTCTTCTAAATTAGCTTCCTTTTTCAGCGTGGACTCTAAAGCCATCCGTCGCAGCATTAGCTCATCTAGGTCATCATCCAAGTCATCCTCGTTTTTGCCCTGAATAGACACAAATGTACGGTAAGAACATGTAGAACTGGTAAACATGAACAGATACTGGTTACAGATAGAAGGCTACAAATTCTAGAAGGAGGTCATTTTTTTCGGAAACCCATTTCTCATTTAACATTTTGATGAAGTCATTTTTTCGAAAACCTATTCCTCATTGAACATTTTGAAAAGTTAATATCAAGGTAAATACTGCTAATATATAATTAACAAGAGGCACAATGGGCCTGCATCGCTCACCTGGTATAAAACTCACACTTGTAACTTTAAAAGTGATCTGAAATAAAGCTACAGGCAAAATATCAGTATTTATGATTAAAATTCGTTCAAAAGACCCTGTTATTTTTTTTTAAAACATTTCACCCCTGTGATTGAAAGTCGAACAAAGTCATTATGTTGAACACATTGTATAGCCTTTCATCTCAGGATGAAACTTGCAAAGTATAAACATCCTGGGACCCATGGTTATTCATAAGAGGTTGTTTAAAGATTTTAAACAAATTTGACCCCTGTGACCTTGAATATAAGTCAAAGTCATTCACTTTAACAAACATAGTAGTCCTTGATCCCAGCATATGCTACTAACTAAATATCAACATCCTGAGCCTTTTGGTTATTCAGAACAAGTTGTTGAAATATTTTAAACATATTTGCTCCTTGTGACCTTGAATATGATTCA